TTTCTTTACCGGGAAGAAATTCACCAAATCTAAACAGGCTACAAGTATCAAGTAAGACATCTCGATTTTTAGATGGTTGACCTTTTACATGCTCGTTGGTATTTCCCAGATTGTCTCGCGTAATTTTACAACGAAATTCTGTATTGACGCGAGTTATGTTGTTATTTTTTCAAGGTTTCAGCCTCAGGCAACATGATAAAGGACCCTCTCTGGTTTACTGTACTGGGCTGGCTTCTTACTTGTTTGGGTTTTGCTGGCAATATCTTTATCATTTCACTTATCATTTCCAAGAAACCACTAATCAAGCAAAAAACCAACTGGTTCCTCTTGTCACTTTCTTTGGCTGATCTCGGCGTCACTTTGAGCTTTTTCCCCAGTAATTTCTTCTGCATCCCAAACAAGTTCTGCCGTTTCGTTTTATTGGCCTCCTCCCAGTGGGCTTTCCTCTGTGCGTCAGTTATAAACTTATGCATGTTAACTTTGGATCGATATATCGCAATAACAAACCCATTCAAATACACACATTTCACGTCGACGAACCGCATCACGGTTTCACTGATCTGCATTGCCTGGATTGTTCCTTTCACTTTCAATTTCCTTCCATTCACTTTCATTTACAGTGAACAGAGAGTCATCGCCTTGAAATACTATACTTACTTCATGTTGGTGACCTTTGAATTTGTTCCCACTATCTTTCTCATACTCGTCACCACACACATGGTCTTCATTGTTGTAAAACTCACTCGCGCAAAGGCATCCGTCATGGCTCAGCTCCAGTACAACCGACCAGCGACAGAAGGCGGCAGTGTCGCCCAGCCTCGGCAGAAAAGCGGCAGAAGACCGACATCCGTGCTGTTTATCGTGTCCATCGTGGTGTTCTTCCTGATATGTTACTCGTTAACGATCGCTACGACCTTCTGTGAAACTTTCAAGCTTTGCCAGCACTATCCACCTACGTGGGAATGGCTGAAAAAAATACTTTTGTACGCTAATTCCGCGTTCAATCCATTTGCGTATGGATTCCTGAAACATGACGTCAAAAGAGAAGTAAAACAACTCCTGGGTATAGCCAGCCACGACGGTCAGAGGCTGTCCAGTCGATGAGTACATATCAGCTCTGACGTATTTTGGTTGTTGGGTGCCCTTGTCTCAAACGGTTTTCTCTATGCTATAGAAGCCTTATATTTAGATCTGCCCTGAAAACTATTTACCTGTTCGGATGTATTAGGGGAACTTTGGTTGCCTCGAAAGTTTTAGATGGCTTTTTCTTCAGTTCTCATCCAGAACTGTTACGGCTACTCGCATAGGTCTGGTCGAAAGTTCGAGAACATGTACATGTCAGAAGTAGCTGTAGAAGATTCTAGGGGACGTTTTGTCTTTAAACGACCTACATTTTCAGGAGACCGGTACCTTTGTTCTAGAGTAATCGCAGTATCTTGTTAATGAAGTGAGGAAAAAAACCTCCGAAAATCTTAGGTAAGTTAATTTAAAAAACTCCAAGTCTTAGACAAATGAAGCGAATGGAACTGTCATCCAAAAATTTGTAGCCTTTCATTATTGAGTTTTAGAAATTTCTTGGCAATATAATAATAGCTAGTTTGAATAGTTGTTATTTCTGAAAAAAAGTCGTTAGGTGCCCCTAACATCTGTAAAAATTAAGCCACAGACAACCCTAGAACAGGTAAAGGGCCGACTAGTGAAAATGGTGGTTCTTCGCTAATGAACTAAACTGTGTCGATAGAAAGGCAGGTGAGACCAGTTAGTGTTTTGTCTCCTTACATTTCATTATTAGACGCTGTTCAAACTCTTGTTGTATGATGTTATGAACTCAAAAAAAGACTCTCTCCCTGTCAATCCTTTAGGGAATTTATAATGGGGACGATCCGAGACGAGGTATCTTCAGGTGTCCATTATTTTATAAGCTAGATCGCACCGAAAACAGTCTGGCTATCGACTTGCTCTCGCTATACATGTTTCTGTTCCGCATCCTGACCTTTATCATATAAACCGATGTACTTTCTTCCACCCCGCCTGGGTATCCCTTATTTAAGCATAAATTTTGTTTCTTTGAATAATTTGAAGAGATGTTAAACAATCTTTTGAATCCCTCCTTAGTGTGGATTCAGTGAATTAAACCTGATTTCGATCGATCGTTTAGAATCTTTTAAACACCACGTCAGTTTTGAAATACAGGCAAAAAAATTACGTCGGTGCGGTATTAGTAAAAGTCCGCTTTCGTATTTATCTACAGTTGGTTTGATCAGTAAACGAGATTTTATTTATATAAATTTATCATTGTAATTTGAAGTTGATTCGAAAATATCAAAAGTAAAAGTAGTCTTAGAAGGTTGTAACGTCAGTCTTATTTTGCTGAAAACGCCCCATTGTAATTAGGAACTCTTGTATCTAATTTAGACAGCGTAAGGCGGCTGCAGTGTAAGTTTGCCCAGATTTGTTAGTCCTTACTAAATTTTAGTATAAGTAAAGATTTACCACAAAGATATACGGGATAACCCAGACATTCTAGTTGGATTCCTGTAGTACAAACATTTAACTGTAGGGTTTCATACTTGAGCGTTGAACTGTGTGTTAAATACAACATTGTAATACATGAACGAATCAATGTTAAATAAAAGAAATCACCTTACATGTGGTGTGTTCTTGTCGTTTTCCTTCACAAGTGAAATTTTGAGCGATTCTATATGAACATGCAAGGACGGTTACCCGGCTTAGTTCACTGACCCGTGTTGCTGTCTCTCATTTCTGTAACGATTTTCCAGGGCTAAACGAGAGTCGCTCGAACGAACGAATCAGGATGGTAAACAAAATTTTTTTCCGCCCTTCGGGCCTCAGTCTGATCTAAAAATAAGGGGATCCGCCACTGGTATGTTCACAGTTGTCACGCGTTACCATAAATTCAATTTTGGAAGCAACGAGCAACTTACAAAAACAGAAGGACCGGATACTAATAGGATTTAATCACAAGTGAAAATATTAAACAAAAGAAGCAAGGCTGATTCCATGCCCGTTTTGCTGTGCAGGCGCGAGAACTTCTTTATTTTAATGGCGTAGTTTTTGCAAAACAAGAAATGATTACGCAAAAAGACTACAACACATCGCGGCTAATGGCAATTTCTCTTTCAATCAGCGCTTTTGTCTAGCAACTAAGAGTTTTGCTTCTTCTTTTCGCTTCGGGAAAGTTACTTTATAAAAGCAAAAGAAAAATTTTCATTGTGATCTGTTGTGTTTCCATAGCCTGACATACTGCCCTCGTGGGGTTGGTAAAGTCGTCGCTCGTCACGGGTATGCATAACTTTCTACAAATTCCACCCCCCCCCCTCCCCTCATCTCTGATTTATGCAAACCCAAAACAAGTTTTCCCTTGCTCAAGTAATACTTGCCGCGCGTCCTGTATACGACGTATACGTTTAGCCAAGAAGATCGGCCATTACTAAAATCAGGTCACGTTTACAACAAACTCTCGGTTCTCACTTACAGGTAAAATTATGTTTTAGGGGAGGGGTAGGTGGGTAGTTGCCCACATCAGTCCTAGCTAAATTCAGCCGATAAGTAAAGACGTACCACAACGACATATAGAAAACCCACACGAACTATTTGAAATTCTGTTAAACAATTTTTTTTTCTAAGAGAAGGGCGACTTGCCTACCAATTTATTTCTATTGTTCAAGATAACTCACAGATTGAATTGTTCATGAAAAACAGGAATGATGACTTAAAGGTATTACAATGTGTTACAGGGAGATGTACTTTACAGAAAGTGAATTCGATTTTCGCCAAAAAGAAAGCACAGAACATCATTGTTCAGTGTTGAACTGTGTACTATATTTGGAATATTGTACAGGACAAAACACATCACGGTACAATGAATTTAAGAGAGAGGGTGAGTTTTAAGCTCGGTAACTGAGATGTGAGGATCACATCTTTCATGATAGGAACCTTTCATCTAATAATAACCAAATTTACAATTGTTGAATCAATGGATGGCTTACTAAGCTTTGCTGTTGTTCTTAATTTTTTTTTTTTTCCATTTTTTTATCTCTGCTTCCGGTCAAATCGATTATTACCTAACACATGCATCATGACGCAATGTTCGTCTCTTTGACGTAACCATTGCACATCAAGCTTGTACGGCTTAATTGAATAATTAAATTTAAGTTATGCTGTTCCACCAAGTTTCTGGTGGTATAATATCATTCCGTAATACTCTTTCTTCCGCTTCTAGAAGACTACAGAAGGACTAAAATAGCTAGGTCTGAATGTTGGGTCGGAAAAGGCTAGTCAAGACTGTTCAGGTCATAGCACTTCATTTTCAGGTTTTCTTATTCGACGAAGGAGGTCTTTTAGCTGGGGTGCGCCTTGCCTCTGCCTGGCGTTTCACGTCTGCTGTATTACTTTCACTCGTCCTTAATTTCGAATTCTTGTTTGTAAAGAGAGAATATAGAGGCTCACAAGTGCCACAGTGGTCATGTTGGGAAATAATTTCTTAAGTAGGAGCTGCAAATTGGTGATAAATATATTAGTAGACTATATTATGTGATAGTGCCGCCAGAGGAAACATTAGTTTCGCCTACAAACAGGTCATCCGTTTGAGATTTATTAGAGGCCAAAAAATAATAATTAACAAAAATATCCGTGGAAACTCACGATAGTCGCGATCATCAAGAACCCGCCTGCATTCCATTTCTTGAGTTTACCTCGCATATCATTGAGTAAAAAGCGTCGGGGATCAGGGCCTTTTATTTCACAAATATTTCACAACTAAATTATTAGGGAGGTAGGGGGTACTGCTGATACGCTGAAACTTTTAATAGGATTAAGCTAGTGGGCACTGCCCGGTATTCAATATCCGTCTAGACCGTCACTCAGTCAAAGAGTAACAGTGGTATTTGGGAAACCTTGCCCATATATACTTCACCCTGGTAGGTGGGGGAGGGGGGCAGGTGGAGGCATTTTGCAGTACCGTGGGGTCAAATAGAAAGATGGCAGAGTGCACAGCGGCAAGTTATTTGTTTGGACTGGAATTTAAGCACATTTCACTGAACAGGTGAATAAACAAATTAAACGTAAGCCAAATAATCCAATAAGAGAAAAAAAAACTCTATGTCTTATATAGAGGAACTTATAGGACGTTATCTTGTTCTCAGCCAAATGTCAGACAGCACACTTAACATTTTTTTTTTTTTCATCAGAGAGCTGGACAAGCACTACTACCTCGTTTAAAAATAGCAAATAAACAAACTTTTTTAAAAAGGGCAAATCAGAATTTTAGAAATAGCAAAAAAATATTCTTTTCAGACACTGCGCCAATACACTAACGAAATCAAAGTAGGCCTAGGTTGAATAGTACCTCATGCGGTGTAGCAATTCATTTTATCATGGGTTGTTTTTCAAATGTCTCTACATCAACAAATCGCATATTTTCTAAAAATAAATTGACCCGTAAAAATAGAAAAACAAATTCCTCTAGGTAAAAAAATGTGAGTATTTGATAAATCTGGAAAGAAAGTTCTCCCGGAAAACAAAACAAGTCTTTAAAAAGGCACTTAAGAATAAGAGCTTTTATAAAAATGGGAACGCCTAGGATATGAATAATTGACCGATGACCCGAAACCGGTGAGGCTTGTTCACGCCAAAAATTCTATTCTGTCGACCATGATTTTTTTTGTTATATATATACATATAATTCCAGCCTAGCCTAGGGGAAATAACTCTTACTTGTAAGTTCAAATTTTGTTCCAAGTAGCAAAAATGCTAACGTCTCAAAGGAAATCATTGAACCCACTTCGATTCATCTCCTCACAATAATAGGTTAAAATATTGGGCGTGCGAGTGGCCTGGTAACACCGTGTACAAGCTCCAAACAAAAATATGTTTTTAATATTAATCTACATACCGTGCGAGCAGAGGTTTCTTTCTGGCATGGCTTTTAACATTTGTTAAGTCCAGTGTTAAGTCCTTCGTGGGGCTTGTCAGGTCGCAGCAACGTGAACGACTTCGTATTATGCTAAGAGTCCATGCCAGATAGAATCCTTTGCTCGCAGGGTATTTCATTGCAAATCATGGGGTTTCAAAGGAAACCGAGTTCCGGGCAGAGGAGGCGTTTTGAACCATAAGTCTTTGTGAGAGGTAGTAAATTTTTTTGTAAAACAGCTGATAGAGGTGAAAAGCTTTCTTCACTACCAACTTTTGATTCATCGCCCATTCATCTTAATCACGTACTATGTACGAACTGCACGTGATTAGGTGTCTCTCTCTAACCCAAACGAGACATCTTTCATGTTAGCGAATAATTAAGGAATTTTATCACGCTTTGTGACATTGACATGTTGGGTAATGTAAGATGGGTGTTACAAATTTGACCTATTCATTTCACCATGTAAACATTTCAGAGGAAGGACAAATATCCGTTCATATGTTGTGGCCCAGTTTTTGTTAGGAAATGAAATCCATCTAGATTGTTCTCTGACGCTTCCAGCTTCTAACTTAGCGTTCCATGAATGTATAACGTATTCTGTCCCTGCAAATTTCTAAGAAAAAAGAATCTCAATTTGCAGTATAAAGAAGAAACCACAGGAACTTCTGAAGCGGATATCAGTGCCCAGTTTGTCCACGCGAGTGTGCAGATAAAAAGGTCGAGATAATAAGTCTGTTTCTGGCTTAACCCCCCCCCCCCCCGGTAATTTAGTGTCCTTAAACGTTAAACGTCGATAATGAGTTTTGGGAGGTTTCTTAAAAGGAAACACGGGCATTACAAACGTGGAATTTAAATGACGAAAACTGTCTCCACCAAGCATTTGTTTTACACCCACTCAGCAACTTTATTGATCGAAACACGTTCGAAAGGAAGGGAAATATAAATATTTGTCTTTGAAGTGTTACAAGATTAAAATTAGATACCTGTGACAGGGACAAATTCCTTTAATTTAGAAATTTAATGATAAGATGTGCCGATAACCCCAAAAGCAATGGGCGCAAAATGCCTAAAGGTAGAAAATAGCGTCGATCAATCACTTACAAACAGCAACACAAATAAAATTTTCGTTAAAATATCACTGTCCCTGTCCCACTTTAAAACGTTGTGTTTATAATAAAAAAGAGTAAAAATAAATGGTTAAAGAAACTGGCTTACGTGTTCATAGTGTTAGCTATTTTTGAAGAAATTTCCGTGATGGAATTTTGTCAAAAGTGGTCGTAATAACAACTTAAAAACAACTTTTCGTGCAAACATGATCACCGTACAGTCTATCAGAAAAAAAATTTACACACGTATTTTCAATTAGATAGCCTTATTTCCACCAGGAGACAGGCGAGACTGCATTTTTTATCAACCTTACCTCTTAAAATTCCCAACAATTAAGTTATTTCCTGACACGACTGAAATTCCACTAGGATTTTCGTTATTTCAATATGCAACAACAAACGTTTCTTAACAAATGTTCACTGTTCGTTTTTGCCCAAATGTTGAACGTAAACTTAGCATATGGTATCATTAAGTTGTTTAATTTTTGAATCGTCAACTTAACGTGTGCTCTTACTACGTAAGACTGCAACCCACCACGTTCTAAACAAAACGACAAATTGTGTAATTTGTTGACGTCACGTAGCTGTGTGGATTTCAATACTTCCTTAACGACATCAAACTGGTCGCTATGGTAAAATGGTATAAAAAATCGACACCTATCGTGTACTATCACAGCTTCACCGCGATAGGCCCGATAGTGAATCAGCCGCAGTGAATCCTAAGAGGCCGCAAGAACAGAAACCGAAAACCAAAATGGGGATTTTACCGCTACTTTTGATCGCTTCTTGTGTAGTAACTTCGTCACTGGCCTGTTCATGTATGCCAACACATCCTCAAAAGCAATTTTGTGACGCTCATTACGGTAAGTAAAGCAGAGTAGTGTATCTGAGTGTATGATATATACACAGAACAGTTAATTTTGATCACCCCGGCTGTTTCTCGTTGCGGCATGTTTCCTTGGAGTATCCTTTCACTTTCACCGTAACTTTACGAAAGTTTGTTTGAAAAAAGCTTTACAAACTGATTTTTTTTCCGATCTGTTCGGTAACAAATCCGAAATGAGCTACCATTTCAGTCAGATCTGTGACCATGGGCTAGTGTAACAAAAGGTGTAAAAAAGGAAAGCAGAACGTAATAACATGACAATTAACTTTTCCGAGTAAGTACTCAATCTATCATCTCCACAATCCTCTCATAAAATAAGAAAAAAAAAACTATGATACCAACCGAGAAAATAAAACAAAACACGTCGGCTTTCGTTCAGTTCTTTGTCCTCAGGTCAAACTAACCTTTCATCAACTGAGCTATTTAAATAATATCAGGCTGGCTGCATGTGGCAGACAGATCAGATCGCAATGGTGTTTTCTCCTGAGAAAACTGTTTAATTTAAATCTATCTATCTGTCTATCCATCATTCTAGCCTTAGTAAAGGTTGAAGGGCAGGAAATGAAAAAATTCGATTAAGGATTTATAACTGTTAACGCCTCCGCTTCTTGCCTTTCCCTATTCTGCTAGCGCTGCGTGACGACACTAAAAACGGCTGTGTCCTCCGAACTGATGGGTAGGAGCGTTGCGTGATGACACTAAAAACGTCTGTGTAGCAGACTAGCTTTTCCCTCGGCTGTTGTCGTAACTGTTCCTCGACTTTTGAGGCGTAAAATGAAATCGCAAGATCATGTTAAAACAAACAATCGACCAGTTCAGATTAACCAACTGATAAACCTTTTTCCGGATATTGATTTTATTTCGCTGATATTTTGTTTCCTAAAACACGTGTGTTTTAGTTTGGAAATCCCACCAGTAAAGTTTTCATGTAAGAGCCGGGATCTTTGATTAAGCCACCACACCCTGGATCTAGTAGCCCATAAACAAACCTATCTAATTACAAAAATTTTTTTAAGATTGAAGTTTGATAAGTTAAATACAGTTGTTAAAATGTATTCTTGTTACGTATGTGCCACAGACCCCCGGCTACTGACCGATCTCATTTTTCGTGCAAAATTATTACTTAATGCTTCCTTACAAATCAGTAGTAGAAACACTAGAACGATTCTGTTTATTTGACATGTTTATTTTAGCAAATTTAACCCATTCGAGAATGCACAGATATAAAGTTAAATTTTTGAAAGACATAGCTGATAATCAGATAAGATTGCAGGGGCACCCAACGACTTTTTGGAAAATATCTGTTCGGAAGACGATTTGAGATCTAGAATTTTCGGAACATTTGTTGTGAAATTTCTTGCTTGCCTGCCTCTCCTAGGATTTTCGAGCCCCTCAAAAATGTTATAATTGCCCATTTTTAACGGATTTTTACCCTAAAAAGGTCACCTAGAATTTTCGGGAGCCTTTTTTCTGGCTGAAATTTTCGAAAAGGTAAGTTTTGATCCCTATCATTTTCGGATTACTAGACTTTCCGCTAGGAAATCCGAACAGATGAAAAATTTTTAGGGGATGAAAATATGCCTATATCTACCGTTTAAATACTAAAATACGTTCAACGGTGCTAGTTTAAGTGGTTTTGAACTACATTCTCGTTGGGTGCCCCTGAGATTGTGGGACAGCACAAATAGAAGTGAGGAGGAATAAAACAAAACAAAAACAGCGAGCATTTTCCGCTCTTCGTTTCACCCACTCTCAACTATCTGCACGTCTCCAGATGATTACTGTTTCCCTAATGCTTACGGCTGATGACTGTCAACCTCACTCAACAACAACAACAATAACCTTTATGTGCATGACTATAATTACTTACAGTGTTGCAAAAATGAATGATATTAATAACAGTACATCAAGTGACAAAATTCATTTCTTAGAGAAAGATATGTTGGGGAAAGTCACAGAAAAATTTATCTTCGATTTCACTCAATTACTGTTAAGGAAATTGTCATTAATTCGTGGAAAATAAATATCTTGCCCCTCTCCCAACAAGGCTTTTCTGCATGAGATGATTCATAACACTGCGAGGGAATGAATTTCCTTGTCTGGTCTGGTTGAGCAGAGAACCATCAATGAAATGATTACTTGTGAATGCCCCCTTTGGTGAGCTTGAGTTTAAAACCTGACAAAGACTTAGTGTGAGGGCGTGGGGGGAAGGGGGGCGGTTTTTTACGCTTCGCCCAAAAATTTCGCTTAAGTAAAAGAATCGTTCTAGTACACCTCGGACTATTCTTCCTGTCAGAGCAAAAGTAGAATTTTTAAATTATTCTCAAATCTGTAAAACTGTAAGTGCTACGGGTCTGAATCCAACCAGGATCTACCATTCCGAAGTCTGAATCTCAACAATTATCAGTGGTGCAGACCAATACCCTGTTTATAGTCAGGACAGACTCAAGCGAAAATATAAACGCTGTTTGTATAATTAGGACGGACAGGAGCCCACGGGCTCCTGGACAGAGAGGTAAAAAACCATACCCTATCCAGCGGTACATCCCCGTATTGTCCATATCAGGAAGTACCTCCCCCCCCCCTTCTCCAGGGTTGAAATGCCAACTGATTTGTATGGAAGAATTGAAACGGGAATAGTTGAATGAAGTAGAAAATTGAGATTCATGAGTAAAAGAATGTCTAACCTTGCTGTTTTAATTTTTTCTCCATAACGTGTAGCTTTTCGTGCCTCTGTCGAATCAAGAACGGAGCAGTCTTTCATGCAAATATTTAAAGAACAAGTTTATACATTGGAAGTTAAAGAAATTTTCAAAGGTCAATCAAACGTGGAAATCAACCCCCTTACTAACCAAGTGAAGCTATACGCCCCTAGCAATGGATCGTCCTGTGCGATATGGTTACAACCGGGGAAAGAATACGTGCTGCTTGGAAGAGTTCTCCTTGTGCAGGGAAAGCCAAAGCTGTTCCACGGGTTTTGTGATTGGCACAAAGAATGGGCGGATTTGACGACAGAGCAACTGCTTGGCATACAGTCACTATACGGTAAAGGATGCATCTGTTCCATTGGATTTTGCTTCACCCCAAACTGCAGAAATCTTTTGCCTGGTTGCGATGGATACGATTATAATGTCGACCAAGAATGCAGGGAGAATTACCAGCGCTGTGCACGTCAAATTAGTCCCCGAGGAGAAATAAAATGTGCATGGATCGGTAGAAAGATGTGTTCAAGAAGAATCTTTTTTCCTTAAGTAATTTTTAAATCACCAAAAACAGTGAAAAGCAGGCAATATAATAACAACATGCTTTCCTTGTATTACTCAGGTCAGTTTGAAAAATCATATTAAATACGTCTCTTTTACGTGAATTGCAACTACATGTAAAGTACAGCGATAGTAGTAGATCGAAAGGACTATGGGCTTTCTGGCGGTTTTTATTTTGGTGCCTTGTTTGCACAGAAAAGATGATAAGCCAGACGGACGAGTTGTTAGAGTAATTATAATTCTAAAACTCTACCCTCTTTTAAATTTTTTTAGGCGTTTTTTGGTTTACTATGATTCTCATCTTTCACTCTGAGTCGCTATGTAGAACTCCATCGAACGGACATATTTGGGGGGGGTCTCGTGAGACGGGCACTAGGGTCCCGTTAAGGATCAGAGATGTCCCCCCTTACAGTAGCTGGAACCGACTGTTCTTACTAGTGCCCATTCTAAAAGAGAATGTCCGGTAAAGGAAAGGTGATGTTACACGGGACGATTCGCGACGACGATTTTTAGCGCAAAACAGCGTTGCAACATTGTTGCGACATTGGCTCAAATGGTAGCAACATTGTTCCAACATTGTGATGCTGTGTTGCGCAAAAAATCGTCGTTGCGAATCGTCCCGTGTAACACCACCTTAAGGGAGAGTTGACTGAATCAGTGGGTAACTGACCACCTACTCATCCCCTAAATCAACATTTTACCCTAAGTGAGAAGTAAATGTTAATGTTGGTTTAGGGGAGGGGTAGGTGGTCAGTTACCCAGATACGTAAAATTATTCGAAAATTATTTCTAGCGATTATGACGCCAGTGTAATACTTGGGTTTTAACCGCGATCAAGTAAAAGAAATTGTAGATTATGGGGGTTTAGAGGAACTTGATTAAAAATGTATTTGAGTGTAGTTATGGCTCGCTTAAGCATAAAGTTCGTTTATAAATCTGTGGACGGGAGTCGGTGTAGCTCGTCTAATGCTCGTTTTACTTCTTCAATATCTGGAAGAAAAAAGGTATGATTGTTTGTTAATTTCTATTAGAACATTAAGAAAAAATAAAAAATATCAGTACCGAATCAAATGAATGGAATAATGTTTTTGAATGGTTTATATTGAGTTTAATAATGGCTTTCAATAAGTAAAAGATTAGGTTCTAAGCCTAACTTGTTAAAAACTGTGGAGTATTTTTTTTTCTTATTACGAACCTTGTTCTCGTTGGCTGCGCGGCTGCGTTTCCACAGTCGCACAATGTGATGGAGAAGCCGTTAATTGTGAACCTTTTAAGACAACACAGAACGATAAAGTATTAATTAAATAATGGTTTATGCCGCAACACCAATTCGCGCAACTTCCACTTCACTTAATCCGACCACTCTCCAGGGCTGATGAAAACAAATAACTTACTACTTTTCAAAATCAATGCTCAATAATCAGGAGATGTGATTTCTGATTGGTGCCAGAAAAACACAAGATTTCTGGCGCCAATCAGTAGCCAGAACGACGGCGACCGTTTGGAACTGGTTGGTAATACATATGGAAGTTCGACTTTTCTTTTCCATAATTTTTCAGTCGCCCCTTTATCAGGCGGCTCCGAGGATGAAAAGTCGAACGAACATTTGACCTTCTGTTTTTTCAACATCACTCACACTGTATATTTCTATTGAGCATAAGCCATAACGACATTCCAGTCTTAGCTGTGCCTGAACCTGGATTGGTGGCTGATTAGCTCCCACGAGTCTCCTGTAGCTCAATAGAGGGTTTATCTTCACTTGTACGGCAAACCGCAAAACGTCAAATTCAAGATGAAAAATTTCTCAAAATAGAAAAGAAGCAGACAAAACAGCTGAAAACAGTTCTTATCGACGGATAAAAAAATTGCGTGAAACTCGGTACTAACTTATGTGTGGAAATTAGTATTGAACAGGAAACGACAAGTAAAGGGGACACTTGGTCACGTGTTCACAAATCTGATAGTAAAGCATCTGTCACTGACTAGCAACCGGAAGGTCTTAGGTTCGACTCCTGTTGGAAGCACAGCATTCGGAACCTCCTGTGTCACTTAATGAGAAGCATCTCTAGTATCTCTCTTTCTCTCCTCCATTCCTGATTTATCTGTTTGAACTTACCTTGTAACTCATTGCAGTCGCCATCAATATTAGTTCTCATTTCATTGTGTTCTACATCCACTGGAGGAGTTGATGCTTCCGAAGAAGCTAAAAAAAGAAAATAAACACTGAGAATTAAAACTCACTTTAAATGTTTTTAAACTGGGTGCCACTCAGTATCGAGAACTGTCTTCACGGTGAGCAAGAGACAAACTTCTTGCGTGAAAAAAGCTCTCGAAGAAAAAGCTGGAAAAAATCTGACACTAACTAAGCCTAAACGCGATGTAGAAAATAAAAATCGTCCCTTTTGATGCGGCTGGTTATGTGAAGGGGGTAAAATTTTTCAATACTAAAGCATATAAAAAGGGTTACAAAATACCTTTTCCGTCAAAAATGGTATATAATTGGGTAAGGGAGTTGACCTCGGGACGGAAGCCTACCCGTGTTTCATTCCTCTTATTTCCATATGGACATACCTAAACGGTAGGCGCAGTTGACTAATGGGAGGCTAGTCTGTATCACTTCATTATCCTCTCGAGGGCTTGCTACTGTTATCGTTAGCTCTGGTCCTGCAAGACGAGACCTAAAGCATCAAACATTGCGTTTTCAAATAACTTTTGGACCACGTCAGACGAAAGAGATAATTCGCAAACGCGGAAAATTGAGGCCAAAGTTAAAAAATTCCTTAAAGGAACTCATGCCTTTCGATAACCGCCTTAACATTCGTTCCATACATGTGTGAGATTTTTGCCAGGGACTCAGCGCTTTTGTTAATCTCATACGTTAATCTGCCCACAGATAGCGGATAACAGTTAACTGCTTGCAGCTAAATAATCTGTAGGCTGCGATGATCTCCAAAATTAACGGTAGGCTCTTAGCCAATGAAAAGACAGATAGAATAATAAGTACAATGTATAATCAGGCAGAAGTCTCACTTCAGATCATGCTGTTTGTCGATGATCAACCTCAAGGGAGCCTAAATCTTCTCTTGTCAGCCTATAATCAACTGTGTTGCTGGATTGATACGCCACAATAATATTCTTAGCATATAAACTGATTTCAAGGTAGTGTACAACTTTACCTTCACTGCTGTTTCTTGAGCTCATGAAAGCGGTCGCAACAAGCATTGGTACGACAATACAGCTCCCAAAGGCCGCTGGGAAGGCAGAGCGTAGGTAACTACCAATCGATCTAATGAAGCAAGATCGATTGAAGGTGAAAAATCTATCTATTATTTATGTGTTAACCTTATATTATGCAGAAAGTTTATCTTTCACACAAATCGATGAAGCGTACTTAAAAGCCTGCACTCTCCACTTTGAAGTTCATTTAAAATATTAGAGGGGAAATCCAAGGGAGTTAAACTTTACCATTAGTCTTTCGAGATTTTTGTCACCAATTATAACCCCAGTACAATAAAACTTTTTGAAGCAGGACGAGGTTTAAGTCAACTCCGAGATCTTACGTACATGCATTGCAGATTAAAATGTTCTGACTCATAAAAATGCAACACATTTTTACCTATTCTGGCCCGCAGGGCAGAATATTTGGACTGTAAGAACAATTAAACCAAGCGAAACTCTTTCTGTACATTCAAGAGCACTTGAAACAAAGCTGTTGACTTCCTGAAAGAAAATAAAGGGAAAATCACTAAAAGTTTTGTAACTAGCGCTTTTATGTATGTAGGCAACCAGCCTGCTTATCATTTAACGAGAATGACTCAGATTTCGCCACATATTTTTGTTACAACTTTTCGATTGCTTAATTATTAAGATACTTGGAGTCAGGGTCTCGTAATAGACCGCGAGTGGTCGTCGACCTTCTCTTCTCAGAGCCAAGCGCGACGAGCAAAAATAAGCCCTGGAAATAACACACGCATACTGGCTTTCACGAAAAAAATTCGTTGTTCGTATTGACGTTATAAGTGGAGATTAATTTTAAGCTTACGCTTTAGTGTTTTGAGAACTAGATATTAATAAATTGTTCATCACGCAACATTCTTTAAGTCTATTAAAACACAAGGTTCTGTTTTTATTTACTGAGCGTTCAAATAGTAAGCTTTGATTGCTCGTGGTTTGATAAGTAAATATATGATCACTACTTAAATAGTGACCAACCTCGTTGTGTCCAATTATCTCCTGGTGCAAATGTGACGTTACCATGGTGACAAGAGACGACATGCAAGCAAAAATGACCGTGGGCGCATAAACCAGCGAAGCTTGCTCTGCTGACTGCAGGAAATACCACATGCAGGTACCAAATAAGGCGAAAGTAGTGCACAGGATGACAACCTAAGGAATAGAAAATCATTTAGAAAGATGCCTTTAATATCCACGTACAAATTCAGAATTGTTAAGCATGATAGTAATACGATGAATGCATATAATATGAAGGGTCCACTGTAAACTACGCGAACGATTTCTGTCGAAACTCTACACAACCCATTAGCCTAAATTAACAAGGGGGAATTGAGAAAGCTTTTTTTTACAGGGGTGGGGCAGGGGGATAAGGAGAGCGGACTTTGAGGATCACTCAAACCCGACAAAATATTTCCTCTGCTTTTTAACGAGAAAAGATGCTTTTGAGCGACGCACGACAACCGGAAGTGAACCTTTTTCGCTCTTGGGGCAGAGAATAACGACACTTACCAATACAAATTTGGTAGCTTCAAGACATACTATAAGGGAGATGACCTCACTTCCGGTTGACGTTCTTCGCTCAAAAACGCCTTTGCTTAACCCTTTAAGCCCTAGTATCCACATACAAATTCTCAAAACTGATATCCATACATTTCCTTGAAGAATTTAGTTGGGAGAATTTGATAAAATATCAAAGTTTTTTTCCTTGAGATCATTTTATTAACGCTCATATACTTTGCTCTTGACAATCTATGGATATCGTTAGGAGAAAATTGTTTGGTCACCACTGGGAGTTAAAGGGTTACGTTCCCTGATACGAAAAACTGGCGGGGGATTTTATTTTACTCATAATGGCTGATTTAGCAACAGAACAGGAACGTCAGTTGACGACGGCGCGCGCAAATCAAACAACTGGCTTGACCAATGGCTGAGCGGCAAACTGGGCACCGGAAGTAGAGTTTAGTCCTTTTCGCGCGCTTTGCCGTCGTCAAATGACGTTCCCGTTCTTTTGCTAAATCAGCCTAATAATCTTAACAAGAGGCGAGAATGATGGAACAGAGAGTGTAACGCTCAGTCGAGCGAGCCCTTGGGATTTATGAATTTCACCAAAGTTATTTTTAGGCCAATTAAACGCTTGAAATTAATCGGAAGTTGGTTTCCATTATTCAGTGTTGTCAAGTGGAGAATTCAACATTGAGTCACCCAGCATTACAATATTCTGCTTTGTATTGTGGCAGTGGCGCGAGGACTTGATGACGTTTCAAATATTCGAGAAAAATGCGCGTAGGTCTCAACAATTAGACCTCCGTTCAATTACAACCTCTAAAATGACTTATATAATAAGAGGAAAATATGTTTCCTAGATTCCCTCTTTTTTTCATTTGTCTCCCGTGATCCTACCCTTGGTGTCTGTTTTTCAATGAAGCTTTTGCAGGTGATCTCCGTCGCAATACGGGTCATCACAATAATCAGCGGGAAGAATGCTATTGACTCCTACAACATAATAAAATAATTATTACAATTATAAGTATCACCGTGCATTTAAGTTTACCGTAAACCTGATTTGAATAAACGACAGAAGCGAGCGGTACTAGCTTACGATTAAACGACGGCGGACAATGCTGGAGGGGGAAGCCGTACAGCCTTTTAAGGTAATTGTCAAGTAAGTTTCCAACTTAGGATCTTGCAATTTAATCTTAAAATCTATCATTTAAAAGTGGACAAATGCATTTCCATCGAAAGGTTTTATGGCCAGAAAAAAAAAGGGAGAATCCATTATTGAAAAATATTGGCCAAAAAGATCTTCGTCAGCGGACAATATCGCCCACATTGACAAGGCAGCGTCATTTTTTGAGCTGCCTTTTAGAAAGTAGAAAGTGTTACTGACTTAATTTTAAGGTAGAACCACTTACCTTCCGCAACTGAAGAGTTTCAGTGAGATACAATGGAAGGTATGACTGGACGATCTTCAAAGCATTGTTTACAAAAAGGATAACAAAACCAGCCTAATGACGTCGGGAGAAGACTGTTAGAAAAAAAGAAATAATAGGCAGAGAAATCTCTTCTTAAAATATGTAGAAAGATTAATTGATTTACACACAACCATCAGAGAAATTCTGAGCTGAAAAGTCAGTCAAGAAAATGTTGTTTGACCACAATGCAACAGTTAAAATATTCTCCACAAAAAAAAATAAAATGAAAATGAAAAAAATATACAAATATAAATATATAACGCAGTAAATAGATAATAAAGAACAATCATAGTTAATTACTATTTATATAAAATTATGATAAAGGTTGATATGCTGCAAGTTGGGTAGGTTCTGACTTCTGATTGGATAGGGAGTCACGCCACACAAAGGATTTACGTCACTTGCTGCAAACAATTTTGTCTTGGGTCGGTAAAACGCGCAACATGTAAATATTTTGTCGGAAAAAGTAGAACCACTCTCTACTTTCTGCGACAACTTTTCGTAACCTGCAGCAAGCTGATTTGCTGCCAGTTCGTGGATGAATGTCTCAAAACAGGTTACACGTTTTTGTTGTTCGCAGTTTTACCGTATCTAGATCTACCTTTAGAACTTTCACTGACCTTGTATAACAAGGGTTCTTTGAGCCATTCGTACCATTTTATTTTTTGCCTTTCTATTCTGCTCGTTATCTCCTGATCCGCTAATGAACTTGGTGTTGGAATGTCTGCCATTGATCTTCCGCAGTTCTTTTCTTTAAGTCAAAGGATATATTTTAACAACACAACCCTGTATACTGTCATACACAGTTTTCAAGACGTATCGAAAGCTTTTAGTGTGTAGCAGCCAAAAAAAGGCAAGAATCACGGAAGATCCTTGCATACGTGAAAAGATAAATAAATATTATAATATTATTTTTCATATAAAATTTGTTTAGACCATACTTTTGTTCAACGTTAGTGTCAGTCCGTTTCTTGTTTTTAAGAATTTGTTTGACCCATTCAGGTCTGTTTTCAACCGCAACTGGTGAGGGGGGAAGGGGGTGGCGGGGGGGGGGCGAGGGACATGATATTTGTTTTTGACTCATTTTACACCAACAAACCCAGGACGTCACACGGAAAGGATCTACAAACGTTATGCTGTTCTGGCCTCGGAAACCTTTCTGTAGCGCGGATTCTGGTGGAAGGATAGCCTAAAGATTGGCTTCTTCCTTGGTGAAAGCCGGTACTTGTTATCAAGTTATTGTACCTTCATCCTCTTTTTCTTCCGGCTTGAACTCTCGAGACTGTGGTATGGACTCGAGGACGGAGAAATGAAAAGCAAAAACGAATAGAAAACACACAGGAACTAGAACAAGCGCAACGTACTGAAACAGAAAATAAACAGACAGAGTGTGATATTTTTGCAAACTCAGAAAACGAAAGATGATGCCCTAGCCCGTTCACAGCCGTTTTTTTCCCAACGCCTGCAATCCATACATCCCCCGCGATTTCAATTTTTACACACGCGCTCAAAGACTTCTAAAGCCTGAAAAGTAAGGGGTCGTCTGTAAACAGGCTATTGATGCCTTAATTACATGTTTACATCGTCGGTTTACAAAGGTAAGAAATTTTATTTTTAAGGCAACAGCGGACATGAAAAGGATGATCGGTAGATACAGCCATTAAAGTTGGTTTGGTAGACTGCCGATCGTAAGGAGGAGGTTCAGAGTAGACATTAGGGCTAGCCCTAAGCCTGCCCACTTTCAGTTCCTCAGTTAAGAGTACGTTGGGTCTAAGATCCGAAGATAGTAGCCTGTCTATCTAATCTATTTTTGCTTTCACTTACTGTAAATTGCTCGCTGATTTGCGAGTTCACTTTGTGTTCGGTATCCTGTTGTAATAAGACCCACAGTAAGATATAAAGACACACTTGGCAGATACGAGCCAAAGATCTGAAAAAAAATTCAGATGCAAGTTTTCTTATTATTTTCTTCTGATCCGTGGGGCTATCAGATTGCTATCAAGAGTAGCAATACGTTATCATACCACACAGCCAGCATTCAAGCAGTGGCAGCACAGAAAATATAGTCAGCTATAGTCACGGCATTGTACAGCCATAGTCAGTTTACTAGTCAGCTATAGTTACCATTGCACAGTTTAGTCAGCTATTATAGTCACCACTACACAGCTTAGTCAGCTGTAGTCACGGCATTGTACAGCCATAGTCAGCTTAGTCAGCTATAGTCACAGCATTGTACAGCCATAGTCAGTTTAGTCAGCTATAGTTACCATAGCACAGCTTAGTCAGCTATTATAGTCACCACTACACAGCTTAGTCAGCTGTAGTCACGGCATTGCACAGCCATAGTCAGCTTAGTCAGCTATAGTCACAGCATTGTACAGCCATAGTCAGTTTAGTCAGCTATAGTTACCATTGCATAGCCACAGTCAACTATAGTCATCATTGCACAGCCATATATCACTGACCCGAGCTCAGTGAGCGACGCCACAGTCAGTCGGTCAGCTAAAATCTCGCTCTCATTTTGAAGCTGACCAGCCTCGAAGAAATCAATAAAAGCCTTCACTGTTGGGAAAAAATCCATCTAGATACCAGATACCTAGAAATATCTACTCTTTGAGGTACAATTTTCTAAATATTGATATTGTTAAGGCAGTAATTCATGCTCTCATGCAAATTGGGAGTCATAGAATGCGCATACGATCGAGATTGTTCCCACTTAAGATTCGCGAATTAAACCCAAAACAACTTTAGGCTTCGTTTAATCGGATCATAAGGAATTCGAAACATGTCTGGCAGTGGACCAATCAGGTGTCTTGAGGCAGAGAATCAAATGTGAGCCGAAGTCAAGACCCAGAGTCAAGTCTGGTTTTAGAACAGTCTGGTCTACAAATCCTATTCTCATTCAAAACGAGAATCATGGGGGTATCATATAGAAAAAAAACATGAGAAAGTGTATGATTATTTCAAAATTTCTACACAATAATTGTATGGGTAAAAGTATAAATTATGTAAATTTACGAGAAAAAAACGATGTGTGTAAGTATACTTAATAATTCATTAGTATTCTCGATATGCGATTTCTTTAATTAAAAAGAAACAATTCAAACATACGAAATAAGAAAAGCGGCTGAAATAAACATAGACAAAGCGCAAGACTCTACTTGCCTTACTACGTACCTTGCTGTCAGAAGTACGCTAACAGAGAAGATCCAAAGTAAAATATAAATTCTTGAGAATAACAATTCCATACTTGTCTTGTTAATTTTACTTCCTATTACGGTTCATTAAGATTTTATTGTCACAATATAATTAAATTTTAAAAAACAACAATTTAACTAATACTAATTCGCAGCCACAAGACAGTGCCATCTTTCCAGAAACAGGTAGGTGCACTCAGCGGTTTTAACTTATTCACACCAAGCCAGACAACCCGCAAAAAACTATGAAAATCCCCTTGCTTTGTAGACGCGAAAAATCAGTTAAGAACAGTGATACGCATCCGGCTAGCAGTGTAATAGTGGCTAATGAAAGGTTGAAAATTTTAAAGTTAAAAATGTATTTTGTTTTGGGTTGATTCAACTATGTTTACGTAGAAATAATAAATAATTAATTAATAGGCATCGTAGCCATATACGTTTTTGTAAAAAAGTTTAAAAAAATAATAACACATGCAATTTCCTCTGTACTGGCTACGAGCCTGTCACGAAAGAAGAAGCACTTCTTTCTATTTCTCTCTGTCTCTCTGTGTCAACACAGTATTGCGATCTAATTGCTAAGTAATTGAATTAGATAAAAAAAAGAAAAACAACAACAAAATAACAGACCGCTTAATCTATGCAAAGTATTTAGGTGTCAGAGTATTGTGAAAAAAATTAAAAGCCGGAAAAGTGCGATTTTGTTTAACTTTGTAATTTGTCTTAGCATAACGGAATAGTTAGGCGCAGACGAGGTGCTATGTACGTTCAAAAGTATAATATATTTCAAGACTTACCTAGAGTTTTCTGGAACCTTTCCACTTTCTGTACGCATTTCTTTCATCAGCTTAGAATAACTCACATCTGTAAGCGGCCAGCCAACTGATAGTAAAACCACTGGCATGAGGTAATACATTCCTAACTCTAAACTGGAGCTACCATCTCCACAAAACAAACATGGGGTGGCCGTAAAAGGCCAGGCGAAGAGTACAATGGCCGACCCAACAACATGTCGCGCTTTTTGTATCCCATACGAAGAGAACGAGTTCCAAATTCGCTTGTCGCGACCGAGTCTAACCACTAGTAAAGTAACGACCGTAAGAATCTGAGAAATGAAGAACATAATTCCAGCGGTTGTGGGGAATAAACCAGCAACTTCTTGAAAATAGAGCAGAGCATAACTATACCACATACTTGAAGTTAAGTTATTGAGTATATGTCCTGTCTGACAGGCTATACGGTTTCTTTTTGACGGTTTTTCGTCGTCACCATTCGTTCCTTCAGTGAAGTCATCGCCAACATTGTTGATCGACGCAGCTGTTATATCACGAGAACTGGCCATCCTGGTTACTGTTTTTATGTTTAAAACTCCGTTTCGGTGGCAATGAAGATATAATTGAAGATCAAGCAAAATGCTTCATATTTGTTTTACATGGTGGCAGCAATATGAAATCTCTTTACACGAAAAGCGTCTCATTTCAATTTCTTCTATCCGATCATCATTTTCTAATCAAAGGAAAACAATCCTGAGAAAATTTTACAGAAAATAATTTTTAAATAGCATTGAAATTTTGATTAGAAGTATCGACCCACCGGCTGCAAGTCCAGCAACAATCTTTCGTAAAAATTCATTTCTATCAAAGCTATTTGAAAGTGTGATTTCCCTGAAACGAAAGCGAGTTGTAATTCTGTGGTACTTTTAAGGACATTTTAACGACTCAGAAGTTTCTGTGGTTCATAAAATATTCATTTTGCTGATGTAATATACTTAAATCTTCAATTCTATTTGTCTGAATATATGTTTTTGTTTCAATATTTATATGTTCGGCCAGCCATTCTATCAAACTTTGCTTAATTTGCTTGCAACGTACAGCAGATATTTTTTTTTGGTGTTTGGAATTAATGAATCTTCATATCAGCACATGTAGTGTTAAGTTCTTTTTAGAAATATGACACATTGTGATGTACATAGAATTAAACTGAATTTACTACTTGCACAGATGGCCTTGCTTTGAATTTTTTTTTCCAACTCGAAGGCGTTGAAACATGGGTGGCTAAGCACAAATCTCTGACTGGAAATCATAAGCGAACCAAGCATTAATTGCCATTATAGATGAGGTCACTCCTTGAAATGAAAGATTCGGACAATTTTACAGCGTATAATGTTCCAAGACAGTGTCAGTGCCTAACAGTTCGTTGAAAGAGGAAAACTAGTCACCACAGTTCATCGGCTCATGCAGTGTTTTACAGTTTCCGTTTACGGCTCGAGCCGACCGCGGGCTGTCGGTCCTGGTTTAACGATTTTCTTTGATATATCATATCTGGTTATAACACAGAGTTGGACGCGAAATGAACCATGGCTGGCATATTTTTTTCAACAGTTACTTTGTTACTTTGCTTTAGAGAAGAAAGCCATTCAGAAAATTAACTATAGACTAAAAAAAAGAAAGAAAAAAAGTTCATTGCGACTGCTAGAGACCGACAGAACAAGAACTAAAAAAAATGTTACAGAGACAATTTTAAAAATTTTCCAATTCTTATTAGACTGAACATTTTGAGTCCCAAAAGTGACCAACATCAGTTTTCTCCCAACAATATTAATGTATCATCACGAGAATACGATATGAGAATGAATACTGAAAATGGTCACCTGGTCACCAGAGGGAAAATACTTTCAACTGATCTTTTCAATTGATCTCAAATTCTCTCCACTGATTCGTTAATGGAATGTATGGAGGTCACTCAAAAGAATTTGCTTGTGGATATTGGTGCTAAAGGGGTAAGAGTCAAATGGTACACCAGTGGCCGATCCAGGGGTAGCCTGCGTAGCAAGCGTTTCCAATCGAGTTATTGCGCGAAAGTTAGAGCGGAAGCAAAAAAAAGGTTGAAGGGGGAGGGGAGAAGAGTTCCTTCTTTCCCCTCCCCCTCCCCCGTCATTTTTTTTTTTTTCTTGTCCCAGCTTTCTAGACGAACCTCGCGAGGAAACGCTTGCTACGCAGGCTAATCCAGGGGAGGCCTGAAAATTCTGTGAGGCACAAGAAAATGATACGGTAAATCAGATTTCTTTTTATTACTCACCACAAACAAAAGCACTACAACTTGAGTCTACAGAAACCTCTTACTAGAACTTTACACGACTATAAATTATGTTACAGTCAGCATACAGACCGAAGCTCTTTTAACGGATTTCGTTTTGATCTTTCAATTCTAAACAGGTATCAGAGAATTGAAAATCAATTAATGGCTAAATAGGGTGATGTGATGTAACTATGGTGTACAGTAAAATTGACCCGCGTATAAAAACCCAGATTTTTCCAAGTTAGCCTATATGGGTTCTTATAGAAATGATATTTAGTGGGATTTAGGCTGAATTAGGTTCTTAAATAGGTTATTAATTTGATAGGGGCACCAGCCATCAGGCCCAGATAACTACTACAGGGCATGTGTGATATGGAATATGTTGCTTTATTAAATAATTATCTGGAATACAGTTTAGATGATAACCATACAGTAAATTTATCTTTCCAAAGAACTAATATGCACGTCTTTCATGCTTCAGTGTCCATAAAATGCTTTGTTGGCAAAGTTAGACATGATATGGTGTTCAATTTGGTTTGCTCTTTGAACCTTACTGACTGAAACCTGGACTAAAATTTTATTTTTTCCGTATTTTCATCAGTGCTTTCATTTTTGTAAAATAAGAACCTATTGAAAATTGGGTGGGCCGGATTCTCTAAGAGCGGTTGACAGGATTGGTTTAGAAAACAATACATAGCCCTAACCCAAACAAAACTAACAATGAACCCCAACTCTGAAACAATAGAGCTTTGCGCCAACAAGAACCTACCAAATTAAAGGTGAAAATTTTAGGCTGAATAGTTTCTTATGAAAAGGGGGTTTAAAATAAAATGTTAGCCTAAGAGGTTCTTAAACTTTAGGTTCTTACACGCGGGCAGGATCCGATTACTCCTGACGAGGGTCTTTACTGTTTATATATGGTGTAAATATATTGGTAAGTTGGCTCGCGAACTGGTTCCAGACGTTCATTTTTTCCCTTGTTCTCGGCAACAACTGGTCATAAGTCCTGGATCTTTGCAGTCTTGCCAGTTGCCGCTACATCCGATAAACCAGAAGGTTGTCCCACTTCCGAAGCCAGAATCACTAAAACCCTCTCCACGGCATTGACAACTCCCTCGGCTAAATAATTCGTGTAACCGGTCTAAAGAAGAAATAACAAAACATAACTAAGCTTTATATTCATATAAGAATAAAATAGTTTTAAGAGTACGAGTGCCGGCCAAAATGATGATGATGATGATGATGATGATGATGATGATGATGGTGGTGGTGGTTGTGTGATGATGGTGTTTGTATTGGTTTCTCGCCCTGGGAAATCTGGGCGATTTGTAAGAGGCCTCAATATGCTAGCGTGTTGTAGCGCACAGTGCTTCTTGACAAAATACGTTGATTAACGGATAGAACAATTAACATAACATAACATACACTTAATTACGACTCCTCTATATGGGGCTATTCTGTCGTACCAAGAAACGAGAAGTCCAAAGACTAATGCAAAGCTGATTTACAATAATGATTTATAATAATGTCGTGATATACAATAATAAAATTACAATGGGGCAAAAATATTTACATCTGTACATGTTGCAAAAAGAAATATTAAAATGAGTTTATAATTATACAGTCATGAAAAATGTGATTCAATCTATTTAAGAAGAGTTTCCAAGAAAGTGGGCGGCGACTTTCCTTTTAAAATTTGAGACATTGTTTAAGTTCCGAATGTTTTTTGGGAGTAGGTTATATTCTTTTTCCCCACGAAAGGCGAAAGAGCGTTGACCAGTAGCCTCCCCGCGGACGTCCTTTGGGGTTCGTTCGTCACGCATTCATTTCTCCCCCCGCCGTGGGGGAGAAATGAACGCGTGGAGAACGAACCCTAAAGGACGTTTGCGGGGAGGCTAGTTGACCAGTTGATAATCTGCATTTAGGTAGATTCAACTGTGACATGTTTCTAGTGCTGCGTCCTGACACACTAAATCAATCATGAAATAAATTGCAAAGATAAGGTTATTATTATTTTCCTACCTGTTTTCATCAATTCTTTGTAGGCCTAAAAGAGAAATAAAAATAGCTGGTTGGGAAAGGAGCGTTTACCAAATAGATGCTATCTGTTTATCAAGCGGAAGGGAATAATAAATGTAAGGAGGAGATGAATAAATGGGTCCCGCATGTATTCGTGGGAATACCGCCTCCCTCCTCCCAGTCAATGTATTTCAACTGGCGCTAAAATTTTTTTGTTCGGTCATCCTAGGGCAACTTGAGTCTTTTCGAAATTAGAGGGGATTCAGCATTATTTTACCAAAAATTTTAGCTGCAATTTAAAGTTTTACGAAAGTGAGAATTTTCCTGATTCCTCTCTGCATCACATTTTCGGTTCCGAAAATTTAAGGTTTCCTTTCTCTGATCGTTTTCTAGCAATTTTTAGGAAACGCGTGGGGATATTAGGGGGATGGTCAGCAGCCGCGATGAAAGGCAGTGTGTATTTGTCTAGATAAGCTTTAAAGCTCCTGTCAATACCAGTTATTAACTTCGTCTGTTCGGTCATTACAGGGAAATCTCAGACCGAGGCCTTGATGTATTGACAAAGCGATTCCGAGTTCAATACACCAAAGCTGAGAGACAAGGTCTGAGATTTCCCTGTAATAACCAAACGGACGTTGATAAGTTATTTATTATACTAGGGCCTTTTTTTAGCGCTATTCTTAAAAAGAACACCAATAAAGAACACAGGAAGTAATTTTCCACACCCGCCTGGCCGCGCAAGAGGTTTTCGTCGCTTATACTAAAGAAGAATCGGTAAGGAAGTATTTTCTCTCAGTTATTGAAAAAATAGTTACATGTATATTTTGTCGGTATTTTTTGTTGTTTTCGCCTTCGCGCTCGTAGCTTTCACTCAAATAATGCCCAGTCATTACAAGAAAATCTTGCCCTCTCAGCAGCCAATCAGAGCGCGCGTACTATTGTAGCCATATATTAAGCTGTACACGTGACCAGCCGATGCTAGACCCTTTTCCCGCCCCACCCGTTTTTTAAGGGAAAAGCCTTGGGGACAAGGTTGAATAACGAATTACGAAACCTAAGCCTGGGAGAGCTGTTCAGTAAACATTTCAACCATCTTAAATCGAGAATGACAACTGACCTCATGATTGTTATGATGGGCCGCAACTCGAGCATTAACGCCAACAAAGAAAACGGCGGCCATTGCGATAGCAAATAGAAACAACTTGGCCGTGCTCATTCTTCAATCTTCTGCAGGAGAAAAATATG